GGATACCTCAAGTCTCCCAAGAGTGCTAGAATTACAGGCGTGAGCCACTGCGCAGCTACAGTGCTATATTCTTAAGAAAACTATAGTATGTTAGAGTCAGAAAAACTGGTTTACTGTGTGGTCTTAGGAAGATTTATGTATAAAATGAATAATAAATGCCAGAGATTGTTATAACATAGTGATATATTTTAAAGGTCTGGCACATAGTGTGGGGACCATTTATCTTTCAAAATATCTAAACATATTCTTTCCAACTTGTCTACATTAGGATGATAAATTTTGGTCATGAAACGTACTTTAGGAGCTGCCATTGGGTATTCTTCTGGAAGGAATAGTTCAAGTTTAAAAGTCCCTCCCTCAAAGGGGGAATCCTGGGGGCCAGCAATGACCACATGAAAATAACGGGTGTTGCTCTCATCTGGTTCTGCTTTAATGCCAGGAACGGGTTCCGCCAGCAAACGCTGGGTTTCCTTGATGATCCTTTGGGGCAGCCCGGCCATCTTGTCAGATCCCGAGTTCGGCCTCTCCACACTAAGATTTGAAAGAAAAAATATTTGAGTGTCTGCTATGTGCCAGATACTTTTTATTTTGGAGACTGTCTATAATAGTGAAAAAAAAATGCAAAGCCTTTAATGTTGGCATGGCCTAATAGGGAAGTTAAATATACATAATTAAATGACAACATGATAAATGCTTAATTGAGCATGTAACAAGTGCTATGAAAGCACAATGCCTATGTTAGTTTTTCCAGAGAGATGGGCAATGTCTTAACAGATAACTATATGTTCACCAAACAATAGGCAAGAAATCAGAAAGGTTATGTTATTTACCAAAATGTACACACATATATTTTTAAGGGAAATTTTATATAAATAGGGAACCATTTGCCTTCTCTTAAAAAGATGATAAAAGTTCTTAAGACATATATATTGGTCATAATTATATAGCACTATGTGCCAGACCCTTTAAAAATATATCACTAATGTTTATAACAACTCTCTGAAGCAGTTTTATTATTCCCATTTTATAGATAAATCTCCCTAAGACCACACAGTAAACCAGTTTTTCTGACTCTAACTACATATAGTTTTCTTAAGAATATATAGCACTCTAGGCCGTGCGCAGTGGCTCACGCCTGTAATTCTAGCACTCTGGGAGGCCGAGGTGGGCGGATTGTTTGAGATCAGGAGTTTGAGACCAGCCTGAGCAAGAGTGAGACCCCATCTCTACTAAAAAAGAAAGAAATTAATTGGCCAACTAAAAATATATATAAAAAAATCAGCCGGGCATGGTGGTGCATGCTTGTAGTCCCAGCTACCTGGGAGGCTGAGGCAGGAGTTTCAGGTTGCTGTGAGCTAGGCTGACGCCAGGACACTAGCCCGGGCATGAGTGAGACTCTGTCTCAAAAAGAAAAAAAAAGAATACAGCACTCTTCACACAATAGATGTTCTATAAATAGTGTATTTGGCAACTAGATTAAAAGAGGCACAATTCTTGTCTGTAGATAAAGTTTCAGGTTCATGATAGTTTCTCCAATAATTGATTTTCATTTTTAAATTCTATGGAAAGAATTCTGTGGAAGGGTTAGAAAGTCGCTCTGATAGATAGCTGTGAGGCACTAGCATGTCAATACCCATACATTTAAAACTTCAGAAAACATCTACACTGTAAGTTTCACACCCGGTAATACTGTTTCTTCAGAACACCAGCAGTCACACCAGCTGTCACATTGCTCTTGCCCTGACAGTGAAGAATATAGACTGTATTTTATCAGAGGGTTAACTGAGGACCACACTTGATCATAAGCGTCTCCCACATTCTGGTGCTGGCAAGTGAGGAATGAAGTCTAAGTTCATGGTATAAAGATAGAGGTAAAGAGGGGCATCTTTCCTTTTCCTTATTTTCCTCCACAGTTGTGGAGTCCCCTGCACACCTTCCAGACAGAGATGAAACAGCAGCAGCTCCCTGGACACCAGAAGGGACAAGCCCCACATTCACACTAAACATGATCAAAAAAATACTTGTGGACTGGCTGACTTCATTACTCAGACTGTCCACTTACAAATTGCTTTCAGATATGTTATCTTTGTTATCTTCTTCAATCCTCATAAAAACTCTGGGAAATAGCTCACATCATCCTCATTCTTCAGAGAAGGAAAAAAAGAAGCTTAAACAAGTCAGATGACCTAGCTAATTATGGAAGGCCTTGCTTCTGGGTAGTCTGACTCCCGGTCAGGTGCATTTTTGTACTCCGTCGCGTATCTCTAGTTGGAAGGTCTCTGACATTAGTCATGGCCATAAAGAAGATATTAGTCAGATCCATCATAAACGAGCCTCTTGAAAAGAGGCAATGAGGTTAATCTAAAGGCACTGTCTAGTAGATGAGACAGCATCCTGTGGGTTTGCCCCTCGTTCACTGTTCTCAACCACACCAGCCTTCCTGCTGCTCCTCAAACAGCCCAAGTCCCAGCATGCTCCTCCTCTGTCACTGCTCTGTCTGGAATTCTCTGCATGGCTGGCTACCTTACAAAGAACTTACTCAAGTAGCATCACTCCCTCCTCTTGCTCTCCTTATCATCCCTCCCTGCTATATTTTTCTTTATAGCTCTTTTTTTTTATTTCAGGATATTATGGAGGTACAAACATTTTGCTTACATGTTATGACTTTGCCACACCCAAGCCATGATTTGAGGCGTGCCCTTTCCCCCCTACATAGCTCTTATCACCATCTGGTGTAGTATAAATTAAAGTGTAAACTCCATCATGGCAGGGTTTCTTCTAGGGTGTTTACTCTGCTGTATTCCCACTACTCGGTGACTGGCAAATAATAGACACTGAAAAAATAAGGGGTGGGGTGAGAGAAGAGGAAGGAAGGAGGGGAAGGAGGGAGGGAGGGCAGGAGAAAGGAAGAAAGGTAGAAAGAAAGGAAAGAAGGGAGGAAGAGAGAGAAAGGGAGAGAGAGGAAGACTTGAGTTCTGACTGAACCACCTACTTCCTGGCTGGGTGATTTTAAGTCACTTTATTCCCAGGTCAGCTCCTTCCTCTCTTCTATGAAGGGTTGAGAGTGAGTCACCTGCAAGATCACTCCCAACAATAATGTTCTATCATCCTGTGTATTGTGATTCTATGATTCCCTTTATTACTGATATAAAGAGGGAGGTAAACAGCTGGCCACACAGAAAAGGGGGTTCACATATCCGTGAGCTCTTCTTTCTGCTCCTATCTAACATCTACAGCACAACTAGCCTGACCTTCTAGTGAGCAGGAAACTTTTCTGTGTGGTCTTATTTGAGAAACTTCAGGAAAGCTTCCGCTTGAATAAGAATACCTTTCTCTAGAGGTTTCTGTTATTGTTCCAGTCAAACTACAAATGTCCCTTGAAACCCTTTATCACTCACCAGTACTTGTGAGATGATACTCCATAAAGAATAGGACTTCAGCATCTAGCAGACCCAGATGGAAAGCCTGACTTTGCCAATTTCATAATGACAAGAACTTGGAGCAATTGATTTATTTTTCTAAATCTTAAATTTGTAATCTGTAAAATGGGGGAGATTATAACACTTCCTTTTCACAGATTTTGTGAGGATTAAATGCAACGAGGCGAGGCCTTTAAAGCAACTTAGGAAGTGGTCAATCAATTATAGCTATTGTCATTCATTTTGATAGTGTAGGAATAGTTTTATCTGATACCAGTGATGAGTTAGCTTCTGGAATGAATGCTAGGCTTGTTAATAGGCACATTCTGGATTAGAGAAGGAAATACAGATTCAGAACACGAGAATCAATGTCTAGTTAGGGAGTCAAAAATTGTATGAGGGAGTGGGGGGACTGGGTAGTCCAGAGTCACAAGAGTTCCCCAAGAAACAAAGGACCAAAGGTAAACTTGGTCTGCAGTAATTCCAATCACAAACGTCCCCTCTCAATGTTTTAAACCTTTTGAGATGCTCTTACTATCTTTTTGGTTAACCAAGGCCATAATCATTGCAACTCAGCATATATTATACATCACCTCACATTAAAACAGTGCATCTCTAACAGACACAAGAGGATCTAGCTCTCTCTGTTGCAGAAATGACCATTATGTAGTGTCTCTAAGTTCTTGGCTCAGCCAGGAAACTTATAGGCCCAGGTCAAAGTTGTTTGGGAAAAGCAAGAAAAATCTTGCTGAAATCTAAGGCTGTGCCCAGTCATCAATCAAGACTAAATAAAAACATTGCTTCTGTGCCTAAAGCACTGACATCTTCTGTATAAACTAGACATCTTTTTCCTTGTGTACAAAACTATCATTTTAGTGATTACATCATGTTTTAAAAACTGGTAGAGTACCAAAGAAAAGAAGTGGGAAATCATCCAGAAAAATAGCGTTGTGTCAAAAATAAAAAGGAATCAGTGTAAGTAGAATTGATGATCATTGTGAATATCTGCCTCCTTATTAAGTCAGCTCCTGTTTTACTAAATATCATTAAGATTTTTTTTTCATATTTTCACAATCTTTGCATCAACTATCTGAAATGCACAATACTTCATATTAGGCAACTGTCACTGTACTTGATAAGAAAAATAACACCTAAAATTTTAGGGTAATAGATACAGAAAATGGCATTCTCTTAAATGTAATTTTTAGCACTTTATTAACTACATATTTATGATCTGGCCTCCTCCTAAACAACTCAGATTTGGGTTAGTGCAATTCCTGATTCAATGTTTGAGTTTTAAAGAGTCTTAGCAAATTTGAGGACATTTTTCTTGACTCTGAAAAAAGTTGCTTGCTCCAAAGAACTAATACACAAATATTTAGCCATTTGGCAGTTTCATAATGAGTGTCCACATGCCAAAGTAAGACCTAGGAACTCTTCTCTCACAGGTCCTACTGCACCTTATATATGTGGTCACACATTTCACACTGAAATGCTGTCTTCTGTCTCTTCTGTTTTCTGTCCGGTAGGCTGCCAGCCCTTGAGGGCTAAAATGTCCCAACTTTATCACTATCATCACTATTCAACAGAGTGTTTAGTATTTTAAAATATTAAACACTCCATGGCATACATTTAAAAGTAATAAATGAATAATTGATAAATTAGTCACCACTGAGAAGGTGAAATTGTGTTGGATTCAACTGCACCTACAAGTCAGTTGGATAAATAAGAAATGCAAAGTTAAATAACCATCCAAGAGTTGAAGTACCACTGAAAGCTAAACTTTCTAGGAAACTGACACTCATTGTTATATAATGAAGAAAGACAGTAGTAGATCATGCTGGGAAGGAGTTTAGGCAGAAATCGGATGATTTTTCACTTAGCTAGGTTTTTCACTTAGCTCTACCATTTGTCAGGTATGTGAACTTTGGTAAGGATAATGAAACCATCACACAATATTTGAAATAAAAACACAAAGCTGAATGTGTTGCTTACTACAGCAAGAAAGAGCAGATGCTTTTGGTCAGACAGGCTCTGCTGGTCTTTGGTAGGATTCGGGGAAAGCATGCAGTTCAAGGAGATTTTAGAGGAGTAGAGCAGTTAATATTTTCT